TTACTTGCAATAAGTGATGGCATTGAAAAAAATGGGGAATATAAAGCTTGTGCAAGTAAAGCTGACATATCCATTGGTATTTGGGCTGGTGAAGTAAGATTTGGTAATGATGGCGATGGAATTATTAAATGAGGTGAAGCAGCCAATAGTGTTGTAGGTGAATCAGCAGATGATGTACTACCACCAAGATCAGTATCCATTGGTGCATCACCGCTATAAATTAATTAAATATACTTCAAACAGATAATATGAATATTAATTCTTTTTAATAATTTTATACAATCTTTTAAAATTAAAACAGAATTTTGAATAGATTAGGAAGAATGAATAGTAAGGATGTATTTCAACTACAATCTAATTATTTTATCATTTTTTAAATTAAGCAAACTAAATTATAATGAAATAAAACAAGCTTTAAAAAAAAAAAAAAAAAAAAAAAAAATGTATGTTTTAAAGAAAAAATACCTTTGAGAGGTTCGCTGTGTGAATGCAAAAGCACTACTTTGTGACTGCAATGGACCAGCACTTTTATTAAGAAGTTTTGCACGAATTCGCATTTTCAAATTTGGTTCACTGCTTACTTTACGTAATTGATAATCCGATGGTTGTAACGTTCCGTGCACCGCATGCATTGTTGAAGGAATGTAATACGGTTCAAAATGCAGTGATGAAAGTGCAATCGGTGTTTGTACTGAAGATGCAGTATGCATTTGTTGTGAGCTTTGACCTTCCATGCAACTTGACCATGATGCTGTATGATGATAAATATTTTCTATAAGCATTTGTTCATTTTTTCAAATATTACATTACCTGAATTTTTTTTTTCTTTGCAAGTATTACATTACTTGAAACAACATCCAACATAAATTAATCACTTATGATCCGAAATTTAAGGTTAGATTTTATTAAAGAAATTAGTTACTACTTCATAAATCATATTTCATGAGATAGTGATAGATAGGTAACACATATAATTGAAGATATATAATAAAAATTTAATGAATTTTCTTCGACAGCAAAAAATGGAAGCAAACAAAAAATTGAATAGTTACCAAATAATGAGATGAAGATGCATGCATGGATTAAATCATTCATTTTTAGAAATAATCCATTTTAAATTTTTTCTTAAGCTCACTTACCATAACATTTCCAAATATTGCATTTGGGCACTATTCTTTTACATCCACAAAATCCCGGCGCTAGATAATGACCACAACATTCATGTTTCATTTTACCCAATAAAGATATGTTAAAAGTTAGTGAGAAGTAAAATAAAAATAATGTTAGTTAAGAAATCATTCATTCATTTAACCTCTGAAAATAGAAAAAAACGAGAACTGAAAAGAAAAAAAATTTTTATACCCGAATTTGTAGTGCTTGATGCAGCAGATGTCGTCCAAACTGTTGTTGTTGCTTGTGATACATTGCTACTTTCAGAGCGAATACGATTCATTTTACTAGTAATCATTGTTTTTAAACGTTCCTTTGTTAGCTGAGAAATTGTTTGTCCGGAACCAGAATAGGATCTGAAGATTTACTTTCAAAACACTTTGAAAGTAATTAATCTTTGAATCTTTTTATCATTTTTCCACTAGTTAAATTCAAGTTGAATTCATCATAACAAAATTACCTTTTATTTCTCAATCCTGCACAATCTTTAGTGGAAGGTGACACCTGTGTATCACTATCCTCTGAAATATCCAGAGTGCTTATGGAACTTGTTTGTTCTGAAGTTTTGGTGTCATGCAAAGATTGCTTCTGTTGCTGTTGTTGTTGTTGCTGCTGCTGCTTTTGTTGTTGAGATGTTTGAAGAGCTTGAAAGTAAGTAAAGTGTTGCATGGCAAGGTTTGTTTGTGCTTGCTGATATTGTGACAAGAGTTCTACTTGCTTTTGTTGATAAATCTGCAAATAATAAATTTATTGGTAAGTTTGCAAACAGAAAGCTGATAACTTTGGTAGTAATGAATTTCAAATTGAAATAATTATTATACAAAGAAAAAAAAATATTTATTTTTCTTATTTATAACTAAGCAAAGAGTATAACATGAAAAGAATAGGAGCTCTACAAATGTTATCTATTATAAATGATTAATAATATTATAGTTTACAAGTTATTCGTTAAAACATAGAATAATTACTAATATATTAAGTTTAACTCATTGCTTTAATTCGAACAATTAATATGATCGAATTACGCAAAAAATATGACATGAAAATAAGAGGAACTCATCTTTTTCAAAATGTTATCTGTGTTAAATGATAAAGTAATAATATTATAGATGTATAAGTTATTCGTCTAAAACAAAGAATAATCATTAATATATTAAATGCTTTAATTTGAACAATTAATATGATCGAATTTTAATTTCTAATTTAATGACACAGAGTAAGACAGAGGGCTCTAAAAGCAAACTGTCCTATTAACTAGAGCTTACCTTAACAAACAAAAACAGATACCTGTTGAAGGACGGCTAATCGTTCTTCGTCGATTGCATCTGATGCTATTCCGAACGGTGCTGTTGAAGGACCTTCTACTGTTGCTGTCGTATAGGACTGCTGTTGATTTTCCATAATGATAGCTGCAAATTTTTTACAATTATTTCAACTGCAATAGGTTTATGATATTCAAACTAGCGTAATGTTAGCAACCGAAAGCTAAAAATTGGAAGCCATAAAAATCTTTTTATGGCTTCCAAATTTTTAATCTCATATTTTAAAATAATCTGATATCTTTGAGTAGATTTTTCAAGGCCTTTTTTTTTTTCACTTTTTTAATACATAAGAATTTCAATGAATTCCAATCAAACCTTAGTTTTAAATTCTATTTACCTCTTTGAGATTATCGATCCAGTTTGCATTAGTGATTGCTACATTCGTAAAGGAAGAAGTAATAACAAAGAAATCGCAAAATAATATTGAAAAACGAGGAATCTGAAAATAAAAATTATTGAAATATTGTGAACAGAACGATAAAGTAGCAGAAGATAAAATCGTCATCAGAAAACAGGAAGCAGTAAAAGATTGTGAAAGAAAAAAGAAACATGCAAATGACAAATGATATAAGCCTGATTTAGTTTAATAAAAGTCAAAAAGTATTCAAGTATATTCAGTAAATTAATGAAAAAAAAGTTCATTTAGCTAAATTAAAATAAGTAAAAGAAAAATTTTGTAACTGAATTTCTGCCTTTCTCATAAAATTAACATAAAATTAAGATTTAACTGGAAAAATTTGTTAAATATAATATGATCATATCTGACATAGGTTTAACTCAAATCCAATAACTAAGAAATGATTATTACTAACACTTCTTCTACTAATAAATAGTGTCACAATAAGCCCTTAAATGGGCATAAACACAAAATAAGATTAACTTAATTACGCTAAATTAAACTGTTAAGTAAGCACAATTAAGCTAAGCTATTATAGGTGGGTGTAATCATAATATCACATATTAGATTGACATAATTACGTTAAACTAAACTGTTAAGTAAGTGCAATTACGCTTATTAGGTGGGCGTAATCCGCAATAAGCTATCAATCAAATAAGCCTAATTAAGTTTAATTTAAGGTGTGCAATAAAATCAAAAAAAAAAAAGCAAAATAACATTGTAGAAAAAGAGATAAATGAAAAAATGAAGAAAAAAAAAAAAAGAAATAAACGAATTGTTATTCTACTGATATCGTTAATAAAAATAAGCCAATGAAAAATAATGTAATAAAAAATAAACGAATGATAAATCCTAGGAATAAGAATAGAAAAAAAATTGAAGAAAAAGGTAAACTTATCAGTGAGAATTACCATTCACGCAGATGCACACGCAAACGCACACGCATATGCACGCATGCAGACATATACATTTGTTAGATTGATAGATAGACAGATGAATAGATAGATAAATAAATAAATGAGAGAAAGTATTAGCTGAAATAGTTTGGAATAAAATTGAAAGAGTTAAAAAAATAAGAGAAGAGAAAGGAGACAGAGAGAGAGAGAGAGAGAGAGAGAGAGAAGGAGATAGAGGTATAGTAGAATAAGTATTTACATTCATTGCGTAGGTTATGTAAGAATTTTGGGGTGTGAATTAACAGTGACGTAATTCTTTTTATTTTTGCTATGCTTAAATTAAATTTTATCAATTCATCTTATCTACGTCAAATTTTCATTCATATGTCTGCGTCACACAAAATATAATTTTAATTTATGCTAAATGATAAATAATAATTTTAGTTGAAATTATTCCTTCCATCATTTACAAAAAAACGAAATATTTCTCTTTTAATGATTCATTATAAATGACTAATTATAATTAAAAAATTAACTATAAATGGTAAATGATTTAGTAATTTCAATAATTAGCGTTTTTAATTACTTATAAATTAACTACAAATTATAAATTACTTAATAATTTTAATATTTTTTTAAATAACTTAAAAAATCTAATAAGAGTAATTTTAATCGCTTATAAATTAACTAAAAATTGTAAATTAGTTAATAATCTTAACAATTAATAATTTTAATACTAATTTTGATTATTTAATTTTAATAATCAACGATTTTAATTAGTTCTACATTAACTATAAATTATGTATTAGCTAAGAATTTTAATTACCTATAAATTAGCAATCAGTTGTATATTATTTAGTAATTTTAACAGTAATTTTATGAAGATTTGAGAACAACAAATTCTTATATTATTAAGGCTTGCAAGGCTATTTATACAATACATTCTGATTCTTTTCCCTTTTTTGTTGTGGCCAGGAAGAGAAAATGAAAAAAACCAACAGATGTATAAAAATATGAATGAAAAAAAATTAGTTCTCATAAAATCATATACAATTTTTCAATTTATCATTGAAATTATATTTTTTATTCAAATTATCTTTTTCAATTGTTGAAATGAATGAGTTTTTTTCTTTTAAAAAGAAATTATTTGATTTCTATATATTTCATTTTGTTTATTTTGCAAAAGCTAATAGTGTGCGGTTGTTTCATTCAATCATGACGATGAGTTCGTCGATAAGAGAAAAGTAGTCTTATAAATAGATTTCAATTTTGTTTCATTCTCTTTTTTTTTTTTTTTTTGTATTGAAAAAAAAATCTTTTTTTCTTCATTTCTGTATTAGAATTAAATGAAATTGAAGAAAGTCAACTTTCAAAAATTAAATGTTATTAATGAGATGAAAACTTTCAATTAACAGGGTTTGTGGCCAAAATTCTTTTTTTTTTTTTTAGTAGGATAATATGAACATCATTTTAACTTTTAATTAAAATTTATTAAATTAATGAATATTAGCTATGTCAAGTCTTACAATATTTTTGTTTAAGAAAAAAGAATGATAAAATTACAAAACAATATTTTGATGCCAATTTGTTGATTTAAACAAAAACAAAAAAAAAAAAGAAAAAAAAATGTTAGGAGAAAAAAAATCAAAAATAACTGATTGGTTTTTGTTTGATGATTTTTTTTTCTTTCTTGTCATAACTAATGATTTAAAAAAAAAATAAGTCTAAGAAGAAATTCCGGAAAAAAAATTCCCAATAAATTAAATTCCGTGTGTTAAATTTTCTTTCAAATAATTTTTCTTTTTTTTTCCTCCATCTTTTTCTTTCTCCTTCTCTCTCCTTTTCTCTTCAGTTTTATCAATACAAGCGGAAATCTTTTTTTTTTTTTTCATTCTGTACACTTTAAATGCATTTGAGCATTTGAGTATTCTAAACTGTTATACATTTTTTTAATCATTTCACTAACAGTGTTTACCTGTAGGAAAATTACACTCTAAAATTTAGAAATCAATGATGAAATTTTAATTTGAAATGATTAATAAAACATAGCGAATGTTTGTTGAAAATGGTTGTTTGTGCAAGTTCATTGTATGGGAACACTAACCTTTGGCTTAAAATACAATAATTTAAACAAAAAAAGAAAGAAGGAAGTTTTTTTTTTTTTAACAAACTGAAAATAAATAAAAGCATAAGGCTTTTACGATAAGATGACTGATTGCTTTATTCACTCAATTCATCCAAAAAAAAAAAAAAAAAAAAAAAAAAATGAAAAAATGAAAAAAAGATTGAAAAAGTTTAAATAGCTTTGTCACAAGGATTTTTTTAAAAAAAAGTGTTATCTTTTTTGTCCAGAAAAAGTAAAAATCCCTTATTGATAGATTTCTTGGCTTTTTTTTCTTTTTTTTTGGTTTTCCTTTCTTTTTTTTCCTAGCATAAATATTTTTCATTTTACTTATATTACGGAAAATTTTTCAAAATTTTTTTATCAATTCGATTTTAAATTGCTTTTCAACGAATCAAAAATGAACGAAAACAAAAAAAGAAAAAAGGAAAAAGAAGGAAATAAAAAACTTTTGTATATGAATAGTAAAAAAATAAAAAAAAGGGAAGGAAAATGCATAGTATTAAAAGTTCAACAGAAATGTAAAAAAAAAAAAAAGAAGAAATATATTTAAAAAGAGTAAAAGAAAGAATAGTAGAAGAGAACTTTGTTGTAAAAATAAAACTATTTATTATAAAAAAATAAAAAAAGGACCAAATTTTTTTTATTTTTTTATAATAAATAGTTTTATTTTTACAACAAAGTTCTCTTCTACTATTCTTTCTTTTTCGTTTTTCTGAAAGGAATGAGAAAGAGTATTTTTCCTAAAGTTTTTTATTACTAATGCTTAAATATATTTGTTGTGTTAGTATAATTAAAAGTATAAAAAACGAAATTTCTTTTTTTTTTTTTTTGTTCTAAAAAATGATTCTTTTTTTTTTGAAGAAGCATTAAAAATTTTGCTCTATCACTTATTTATTTATTTTATTTTTCATATATTTTTTTTTTTTGACCTAAAATAGCAGAAAATTTGAACTTTTCCTGTATGACATTTTTTCTTTTGTTTCCTAAAATGTCTTCTTTCTCCTTAATTTTTTTTTTTTTTTATTTCATTTTTGCTTTTTTTTTAAGGGTACTTATTTTGCTAAATTATTTTTTTGAAAAAGAAAAGAGAAGGAGAAGAAGAAGAAGAGAAAAGAAAAAATAATGAGCAAAGTTTATGATAAATTTTTTAAATATTTTTGTTTTTTTTATTTTTATTTTTTTTTTTTGATACTTCTTTTTTTTTTCTTTTTCATTGAACTAATTGTTTAATAACACTTTTTTTATGGCAAAAAATTTGAGCAAAAATAATTTAAGTTATGAATGGAATAATTTCTTGCTTTTTCCTTCCGTTAAAAATGAGTTTTCTTTTTTTCTTTGTAAATACTTAAAAACAAATTGTTAAAAAAATTGCTACTTGTTGAGCAAATTTATATTTTTTTATGAGTTAAATTTAGTTCAGTTTTCTTATTTTAAATGATTTTAAGAATTTTATAAGTTTACAAAGAAAAAATGCTGTAAAAATTTCTATTACATTTGATTACAATTTACATATTTAATAAAAATAATCGCTCACTTCTAATCTCTTCATACTGTCATAAAAATTTTGTTAATTAAAAAAAATAAAATTGAATTGTTGATGTTGATTAAGATTAAATTGGCGCGATTTTTTTTAATTAAATTAAATAAGCATGAAAGCATATCGGAAAACTTTTAACATTTGTAGAATTAATTTTAATCCAAGGTGAGAAATTAGATAAAAATATATATTTTTTTAAAAAAAAAACAACAGAAATTTTAATTTCAAAAAAGTGTTAGACTTGGCTTTCCTAATTCCCTTTATCATGGATGTTTGAAGTTGCTTCACTACAGAAATCTTCCTAGTCAAAAAAAAAAAAAAAAAAAAGTCACTGCAAAATTTGTTATGCTGAAAAAGAGAGGAAAAGAGAGAGAAAGAAAAGCTCGAAGAAAATGCTATCATTATGTAATGTAAGAAGTAAACTAATATTGAAAGAGTAATAAAATTAAAATAATATTCATATTTATGTATTAAACTTATTAAATACAATAATACATAAATTTTAATTTATAGCACTATTATTCCTACATCCATATATATATAACTTATTAAATAAATAAAATGTTCTTGGAATTATTATCCCTTAGTTATTAAATTGAAATTAAAAAAAAAGTTTGTAATAGCAATAATCAAATTGTTAAATTATCAAGTGTTTATAGCAGTAGCTCAAAACGTAATGAAAGTACTGACAAAAAGATAAAATTGATAGCATCAGAAGAAAAGTATCGCGTTAAACTGCAACAATTTACAATTTGTTCGTTGAAAATTCGAAAGGTCAGTGTATTTTTATTCATTTTTCTAAGAGCAAAAAAAAAAAAAAATGAAAAAATGAGCTAAATTTTTTTTTCGTTCTTTCATTTTATTCACTTTTCTCATTTCTCTCATTCTTTAGAAGAATGTTTCAAAAATGCAAAAAAAAAGAAAGAAGAAATGTTTGAAAAGCTAATAAGTATTACAAATATTGCCGAAATTTCATTTCATCTAACATTAAATTACATTTAAGAATTGTTAAAAAAACAAAAAACGAAAAAGTTGCTGTTTGCATAATATTTTTTTTTTTATGAACTTTCTTCAATTTTCTCTTTCTCATTCTTTTTTTTGTAAAATAAACAAAAGTTTTATAATTTTTCAGAGAAAAATAACAGTTAAAAATATTTATTTTTATTCTAAACTTATATAAATTTTTATTTCGTTAGTATTTTAATTAGTCCATATGGAATAAAATATATAACAACCAGTTTTTTATTCAAATTTTATTGCTTATTTTATGCAAGTAAGTATATAACTTACTTTTACATTTTCTCGGAAAATTCATTTGTGAAAATCAAACACGAATAATTTAAAAAGCATTTAATGGTGGTTGAATTAAATTGGAAAATTGTTGACATTTACTACAATAATAACAATGATAATAGCATTAATAATAATAATAATAATAAGCATTGATAAATCTATTTCTCGTTTCACAAACATTCAAATATTTGCGTGTTTAAATTTAAATCTTAAATTTCTTCAAAATTTAAGCTATTGAAAACTGGTCGCTTACCAAAATATATCAATTTATCAGCATATGATAAAAACTCTGTAAGAGCATTAGTAGGATACATCCAGAATGAGAATCAAAAAAATATCACATTATCATTTTATGCATTAGCTGATCTAATCGATTTATCACGATCATTACTTATGCTTGGCTTACTCAAACAACTCGAAAATGTATGATTTTTGAAATTTTTTAAAATTTTTTAAATATATTTCATTATTTTTTAATAAATATCTTATTGTTCATCAATTTTCTTATACTGGCCTTTAAAATATATTTCACTACTTTTCATTTTTTTTTTTTTTTTTTTTGTTGTAATTTAAACTTAACAGTTTAAATCTCTATATCATATAATAATTCGAAATATATTTTTCATTTCGCTATATATTGAAATTTTAGCAATGGAATATTGCAAAAAAAACATCAATAAATTATTTTAAAATTTATAGACAAATGAAAGAAATATTAAATTACACTTTAGCTATTTATTATTAAAAACCTAAATTTTCATTGATAAGGAGATATCAGCAATGAAGTTAATATTAACACAATCATTTGATTACCGATTTACATTAAGTATCATTTTATTGATTTCACAGTAAACAAAAAGGTGATACATTTATATGCAATAAACTATTTATTAGCAATTATCTTTGAGTGAAATAACTATCATGATAAGAAAAAGTTGATAAGTTCTTTTTGAAGAAAAAAATTTCATTTATCTTTGTTACATTGTTTTTTTTTTCCTTTTTCACATTTGTGATTAGCATTTTTAGATTTTCGCTTTGGAAATCACAAAAAAAGAAAAGAAAAATAAATTTAACTTAAAATATTCTGATAATGTGAAAATTAATAACTGTTTGGCATGGGAATGTATCAAGCATTTTGAATTATACACGTTCCTCAATTCCTAAAAATTGAAATGATTTATCAATAAAACAAAAAAAAAAAATGTTAATATTTCATTTAATTATTGTTGCAAAATTTTCAATTGAAAATGAGAAAATTAAAAGTGAATTTTTAAAATTAAATTTTTGAATGATTTCAAAGAAAAAATTATCTTATTATTAATTTACAAAAGTATATATATAAAGGGAAAAATAAAATGAAAATATTGTTAATGAGAATTAAATTGTTGATAAATTGTTGATAAAATTATTATTAATATACAAAATATTTAATATATTGCCAGACTTATATTTATTTTATCATTGATTAAACTTTTTTCTTTCCTTTATAATTCTAAACTGTAATAATGAATTGATTAGTTTGTATTAAATTTGCAGTTTTATTCATTTCTTTTTTAATTTATCATTTTCAGATTCTTGTCAAAATGGCATCACAGAAAACAGATTCACTTCTCCAAGCACTAATTATCGTAGGAAGCGAACGCTCAATTTATAGTGGTTTAAATGTTCGTCAAAAAATTGAAAAAATTGCAGCAGCAAAATTTCATGATATTGTGCAACATAGATTTTTTGGCCATATACCACCAATTATTTTCGCAAATATTATCGCACGGTAAAATTAATTTTTTAAAATATGCTAATTTTTTTAATAAACAGTAAATCTGGTGGAAAAATTTTTAAACTTAAATACAGTATGTATGAGTGAAATATGTTGACAAGTGACATGTGACAAATTATATATTTTATGAAAAATAATAAATTTGATAAATTCAAAAGCATTAACTTACTAATAATTCATTGTGCGCAAGTTTATACAATAAGGTGACATTCACAATTTCATAACTTTTCTAATGTATCAAAACAACGGGGCAAAAATTAAAAGAAGGTATTTATTTTTTGGTTTTCAAAAAAAAACAAAAAATAGAAGTGAATTTATATTTTAGTTCTCTCAGGCCTCATTTGCATATTCTTTAATCGCCTAATCGCCTAAATATTTTTGAATTATTTTACAAATTTAATCAGACCTCTTTCAAAAATTTTTTGTTGTTTTTGTTGTTACTCTTATCATTGTTGCTATTATTGTTACTTTTGTTCTTATTGTTTTTCTCATTGTTGTTATTATAGTTGTTATTGTTGTTGTCTTTATTTTTGTTGGTTGTTGTTATTGTTACTGTTACTATTTTTCCCTTGTTATTATCGTCACTATTGTTGTTATTTTTGTCATTGTTTTCATTGCTGTTATTTTTGTTTTTTCTTTTTTTTTTTTTTTACTGTTTTTGTTGTTCTGCTAAATTATCGTTAAATAAAAAATTATTTTATGACAGATGCGATTTAAACGTCGAAAAAGAGATTAATGCGGTAGATGCTGCAATTATATGGATTTGGCAACAGGAAAAACCTCTCATTAATAGTGCTTTAATTTTTTCACGTATCCGTTCGGCATTTTTGAGCGACGGTGATCATAATTCCATCCAAGAACGTTTGAAAACTTTACCAAATGGAGAAAAAGTACAAATTTTGTTTTCATTTTGAATTAATTTTTTTTTTTTTTCGTTTTTATAATTTGAACTTTAACGTTGACTTGGAAGTATGATGTAGCGATGATCTTTGGAATGTTTATACTTCATTATTTGATTTGCTAAATAGCGATAAAATTTTTATTACTTCTACATAAACAAAAGTAAATGTGAGAAAAAAGAACAATAAACAGTCTTTACACATTATTATCATAAATCGGTTAAGACTGTTATCTCATTTGATGCACACGAAAGTGTAATTTAAAGTATTAAAAGCACAGAAATATTCCTTGATACCTTATCATAAATAACAGGAAAGGGATGAAAAAGTAGTTGTGTTCAAATGATAACAATCTTAATAGCTTTTATCATTAATCATCCACTGCAGATGATTCCATTTATTATGACCACATTAACAAGCACATTTTGTCGTCGTTGCTGTACTATCAAAGAACATATTGATAAGGGATTGGTACGCTGTGGTATACCCAAGCCATCCAATGATACAACGATTGATCTTCATAAACTTCCATTGTTAGTTAAACAATATACATCGAATTTTATCAAATTCAAAATCAAAATATTTTATCAAAATAATTAGAAATAAAAATTTGAATGGTAGATAAATTTGTTTCATTTGCATGAAACCACTAATTCCTCCATTTCATGCAAAAAATTCTGAAAAAGTCTTTAAAGTTAACTTTAAAAATGTTGATTTTTTTCATTCCAATTTAAACATCATTCTTCTCATTTAAAATAAAATTTAATTCTTAATTCATAAAATACTATCACTTTAGCATTTGAAACTAAAATTTATGATCTTTTCAGATCAGGAAAATTATCAATTAAGCAATGTATGTTTTCGTCAATTTTTCATATTATTACTTTTTTCTTGTAGTACATAAATTTACCTAGCTTTTTATTGAATTTAGATATCTTCTTTTATCACATATGCATATTTGATGATTTTACGATTACGCTTATCACGTTTGAGTTAGAATTCACAATGACGTATAATATTTTGTAAAAACTGCTAAAAAATAAAAAATTTTTTTTGATTTCTAAAAACATATCTTTGAACAATTTTTTTTCTTATAGTGCCAAATTTTTTTATCATTTAAAAATGCAAAAGAGAAAAGAATTAATTGAAAATTTAAATGATGGATAAGAGATAATCGATCAATTTTTTCTTGTCAGTAATTCCAATTAATTAGTCAAACATAGCGCATATTTCTATAAATAGGTATCCTAAAATAATAGAAGACAAATAAATCACGCATAAGATAGCATATGTTATCTTCTCAGCTGATAAGGATTGGATGTGAGTATTTGAATTGAAATTATAAAAAATCAAATAGCAATACTTCTTTGATTCATTAAAATAATTCAAATGTATCGAAAAAATGTTCATATTGAAGTTTCGAAATCTCCTTCATGAATTATCTTCGATTTCCTCTGATCAGTTAAAATAATTCAAGCATATCTAAAAAGTTTCATATTAAATCTATTTTATATTAACTAATTTTTTTAACTAATAAAAATTATACTTTATTTTTCATTTTAATTTCATTTCATTACCTTAATTACTTTAATTTTGCTTCAAATGATGATCTATACAAATTGCAAAGTACAGATAAACGGAAGGAAAACAGTGAACAGTTAAAGAAAAGAGGAAATTTTGAAAAGCAAAATTATCCAAAAGAAAAGGATGAAAAACGGAATGCAAAACTGATCAACAAAAATGATGAATCATCGAAATCTATTGGATCAACATTAGCATCAGAATCTGAAAAATCATCGAAATCTGAAAAATCTAAGGTGCAATAAATTTGCATAATTTTTCCTAAATTAATTTGTTAGGTATTACCTATTTTTAATTTAATTGTTTTAATTCATTTTTCTTTTTTAATTTGCAATATCACTTTTTTAAATGATTTCTTAAATTTTCAATAATAAATTCAGGAATTTTCTAATTTTCAGTTTACTAATTTGTTTAATGAAATAATTTACCTTCTTTAAATTTAGAATTAATTTTTTTCGCAACATTCTGATTATCTATTTAGTAAAACTGTAATTTTTTTTTAATGATACTTTTGCTACATTTTGATTAATTTATAGATAAACGAAAAATCAGAAAAAAATATACTACGTCATTGCAAATTTCATAACTTAGGAAAGAATAATTCAAAACGATCTAAAAAACTTCGTAATGCTATGCGTAAGAAAATTTACAACGAAAAAACTGGTTAAGTATTACATTAAAAAAAAAAAAACTAATCAAACATCAAGTTTAAGTAAGACTTACAAAATGTCTAAATAATGACTTGCAAACAAATTTTCGGCAAAATATTTATTTTAAAGTTTATCAAACCATTTCGTGAAGAAAAAAAGAAAAAACGAAAAACATTTCAGATGATAAATGAATGACAAACTGGATTCAAATAAATGGAATGTAACAAATTGAATGATTTGTATATGTCGTGCGCATAAACACGCATAAAAACATGTCTATTAATTCGCCAATTTTTACCCATACACACGCATACAGCACACGTCTATTAATTTTCTAACTTTTACGTATGCGGATGCATGAAAATACGTCTATTAATTTACTAATTTTAAGCGCACACACGTATAAGGAGATAAAGAGAAATGAGATAAAAAATGAAAACTGCTTTCCACAAAATGAAGTAAAAAATCATTCATCTTAAGAAATGTTTAGAACAAAGTGAATAGCATTATTTTGAAATTTTTATTCTGAATATTTCAATAATTTTTTCATTTCATTCATTAAGTTTTATTAATTATGCTGCATGCAAAAATCATTTTTTTTACATCTAACATTTAAATTGAAAAATATTTTGAAAAAGAATGATTAGATAAATTGAATTTACAAGCAATAATTCAATAAATCAATTGAAGTAAACGAGAAAAAAAAATGCTTTCAACAGCTGTTAAAAGTTCGTTTTACAATAAAAATACGACAAAATTAAGTTGTTTTGGGTTTTTTTTTTACTTTTTTCTCAACTTAGAAATTTCCTTTCTTTCCTCTTTTCCTTTCTTAATAAATTCAATCATCTCAAGTAATATTATTTATTATTAGCTGAGATATATTTATTTAGGAACATTATTTTTTGCTAAAATAATTGCTAATAATTTGTGTTTGATTGATAACCATAACAACAGAAAATATTTTAAATATAAATTTAATTATTTTAAAAATAATAAAAATAGCAATATGAGAACTCTATCTTAATTTATTCCTATTCATCCATTTTAATACAATAATTTAATTTAATATTATCAGCAAAATTTATATAATCACTTAATAAGCAATAAATACTATCAAATACGTGTCATTCAATTTTATGCATTATTTCATTTGTTTAATTTTATGAAAGAGTGAAAAGTTGAACTGCATTTAAATTTAAATTGTGGCTAAACTAGCATTTCCTACAAAAATAATTTGTAGGAAATGATTAACATTTTATTATTGTGTAACATATGCAATGCTATCTTACGCTAATTCTCTCTCAAATATTTCAAATAAATTTAACAATTTAATGTAATACTAATTAGATATTACAAGAAAAGGGCATTATAATAAAAATTTCAAGTCATATCATACTTAACATTTATTCATTCATTTCAAATAATAATTTAATTAAATTTAGTAAACAAATTTTTTATTTGGTTCATTATTTTTAGTAGTATAAAATCATTGATTATTATGTGAGTAATCGTTTTCGGTTGGTTGTGATTATTTGTGTTATATTAATTTTACAGTCGATTAATATGACAAATAATAACGTAAGCTATTAATATTTTAATCAGTGTTTCCTTTCATTTTAATGATATAATATGATTTTAGTTGATTTGTTTACATCTTAATTTCAATGATTTGAAAAATGACAACACTTTAATTTCAAATATTAAAAAAATGAATTAATAGAATAGAATATTGCATGGGTAGGTAATTTTTTGAAATAATCCATTAAATATTAAATTTTTATGCATGAGATGAAGCTCGCTATGAATGAATGCAATTATTTTATGATTAATATGGCACTTGTCCTTTTTGAAATCTGCATATGACGTTATATTTAAACGTGAAACTAACGTTACGCTACTGTCAGTGTTTAACATATGTGACGTTATTTGAACGTGAAATTAGCCTCATATACCATCAAATGAATGACAAGGAATTAATGTCATACCATCATTAAGTTGACTTTAGTGGGCAAATTCTCAAACTTAAATTCAGATTTCAAAAAAAAAAAAAAAATAATAATAATGGTATCGTACCAGCTTTTTTCATTATTTATCATTTAATTTTACATTATTAGATTTAATTATTATCGATTCTATGTAATTATTAAAGACTATCTAATTATTATTCTTATTAAAAACTATTTAAAATAGTAATTACTAATTAATAAAAATGTTTTAAAAGCATATAGCAACTAATATCAATGATAAAGCAAAAGCTAATATTAATTAAATGAAGAAAGCCTCATCTAATAATTATAGACTGTTATAAATTTGTGTCATTTATAGCTTCGTGAAAAACTAAATTGAACATTTTCAAATTTGTTGCAAAATTTCCTACTTTTATTAATAATATAATTTTGAAAATATAATTACTGCTATGCTACCGTATACTTAAATTTTAAATCAAAAAAAAATAATTTCAAAAATTCCAAAAAATCATAAAGTTTTTTCCATTTTTCTATCAATAAATTTAGGAAAAACCATATAACAATTACTATTACTATATATTAATTATTATAAATTCCATTTAATTATGATAGTAATAATTTAATTACAATAATAACATTTTTTTTTTTTTTTGCATTAAAAAATTAGCTAATGAATAGCAAATTCTTTTAATTATAAATGAAAACATTTGAAAATGAAAAATTTTTTATATACAAATTAACTGAGAGTTATTTTACTTTTCATGCAATTACATTTTCAAAAATACTGTTCCTTACATAATTGCTAGATTTTCGAAGAAAATTGGGAAAGTAAAAAAACAATTGATAAAACATAAATAATCATTTTAATCATAACAAATCGTTTATTAACTGAATTAAAGAAAAACGAGAAACTCAATAGTAACCCTTCGTCAAATAAAATTTACATTTTAGAAAAAAAAAAGGAACGGTCACTACTAATAATTAATCACTGTCACAATTTTTTAGATTTCAATCAGAATATTGCACTGTTACTAAAGAGTGTCATTAGCAAATTAATAGAACAAACAAAAAAAAAAAGTTTAAAGTTTTCAGCTAACATTAAGAAAACAATTAATTAGTATACTCTTTTGCGGGAATGTCTAATTAGCACAACGAATTCTTCAATATTTTGTCATCCACTGAACTTTTCACCAATCGATGAAATTTTTATTTTTCAGCTTTTCTTTAAAAAAAATCATCAAATTTAAAAAAAAAAAAAAAATGATTTTCTATTCTGCAAGAATAAATAAGGTTATTTTCGAAAAAAAAAAAGGAAACTCTTGTCAAAGAATTTATTTGGTGACATCTTTGGTGACAGCCTCAAAAAAATTTCAATTATTATGATTGTTACTGAAGATTAATTATAATTTGCCGACGAAAAATGAGATTTATTTTTACTTTTGCGCCGTAATACTATTAACACTTAACCATACTCATATATTCATTTTACTTATATATACTCATAACTATACTTATATTAATTCAAAGAAATTATTACTAAGAACATATTTGGTGACACTAATGATTTAGGTGACATGCTTGCATACGTCTAATACAATTGCTTTATGGACAATAATTTTGCTAGTTGTACCAAACATTTTGAATTGTATTTCAATTTTATTATTAATATTGATTTCATCGCATGTGAAACGTTTCAAGAATATTACAGAAGAAATTGCCAGCAAGTTTGTGACCTTTAAGAAATATATTTATATTTAACAGTTTTCCTTTTTACAATAACAAGTAACATCATAAATTCAAGACATTAACAAAAATTAAATTATCAACTAATTATATTGTGAAATATATAAATTGTCAATTATTAGATTAAATTATCAATTAATTAATTTATAACAAAAAGTCAAAAATTAAAACATTCATCTAAAACAACAAAAAATAAAAAATAAAAAACTTACAAGTTTTATAAAACAAACTGAACAGAAAGCATTAAAATGAAATAAATGAGTAAGCTAACTTAAGTTATTATTTTATTTATTAAAACACTCTAAAATTCCATTTTATAAAAAAAATTATTATTATGCTAATTAATTCAATTAATAAAAGCATAAAAAGTATTTATAATATAATTGTATTAAGTAATTAATACATTTTTTTGTTTGTTGTTAGCACAAATTGGTTAGCACGAACAGCGCGACGTGTTAGTTTTGGACCAACGGCAAAATTAGCACTTCTAAATTATGCCACATGCATTCCGGAGATAAAACAGAATATGCAAATTATTTCATTACCTTCAGTTCAACATCATGCATTTCAAGCAGCTATGGATTCGTCAACTATCAGAGTTGACGGTATTTTTTAAAATTGATTGAAATTTAATTCATTAAAATGATAACATATAAGTAACAGTGTATAACGATTTGATAAAACTAAAAATACTACTAAAAGTAATAATAGATGCAATGAAATAATTATGAGTAAAAGAAAAAAATAAAGAAAATTTTAATTTGCCGAAATGAAAATTGCTCTATTGTCATTTTTCATTTTTGTTTCTAAAATATAATTTAAAGAATTACAAGAAATAAACTGTTTATATAGTATTTTTGGTATATTTTTCAAATAATTTATTTAAAAAAAGAAAGCATATTTATTTCTGAATAAAGCAACATTATATACAATATGGGCTATCATTTAAAATAGGCTTTATTTCAATTATTTTTCAATTTTTTTTTTTTTTTTTAAATAGAACTATACACAATTTCTATTAAAATACTAATAGGATATAGATTCTAGCTATTTATACTTCTATGTTTAATAATTTTATTTCAATTACTGAATAAATCAAAAATTTGATAGGGAAAAGATTAATTGCTAGATTATCTTGTATCTTAATGCTTTTTGCTTTAAATTCTTTGCAAATAAATAATTAACTTCCCAAATCATCAATTAAATTTTAAAATGATTAATTATATTTCGGCTTAAATTGAAAAAAAAGATCTAATAAACTATGACAAATTAAGCTTGTAAATTTAGTTAGAACGAATAAAAGAAATACGAATTTTGAAAAAGAAAACTGATTTTTAATTAATCAAAAAAAAAATCCCTTCAAAGTTTCTTTTCTTTTTTTTAAAAAAACGACAACAACAATTTTAGATTTAATAAAACGAACTAAATTATTGTGTGCATTTCAAAAAAATTAAATTTTGTGATGTAATTAAAAGTTTTACATAAACGAATTGAATTTAAATTGCTAATTTATAACATTGTGCCAACTATCAACTATTAATCATATATAGCTGAAATGATATTTAAATTTATTGTATTAAGATCGAAAAAAAAAAAAAAAAAAAAAGAAAATCCTATTTATTCAATCAATCATCTAAGCAAATATTTGCCATATAAATGCGAAAACAATAAACTTTAAAGAAAAAGAAAAGCTAATTCAATTAGCCATTTAAAGAAACATGGTTTGTTACATGAAAACAAAAAGCAATAAACTTTGAAGAATCATATGGAATGACAAATCAATTATACATTATAAAAAAGTTCAATAATATATTACTAAAACTACGAATTGATAAAAATTTAATTTGCATAAAGTTTAATTATAACAGAATTAAAAAAAATATATATATATATATTAGTTAAAATTTCAAAGATAAATTGTAACGCACATGTAACATACGTCAATGCTTAGAATAATATTTTGCGTAATAATTAGAGGAAATGTATAAAGATGATTAATTAAAATGCTTATATTAAAAAATAGATAAATGATCAACAATGAATTTGCCTGGTTCAATTAGTAAAATTAACAAACAGTATGCTCCATATCGTTCCAATCACTTCTCTCTCTCTTTCTCCCTCTCTCATTCGGTCCTCTTTTAGGTGAAACTGGTTTTGTTGGTTTTGTGTGTAACACTTTCTCATAGTGATTTTGTTTTTTTTTTCTCTTTTTTTAAGTGTAATAAACTTTTGAATCATTTAAAATTTGTTATTGATTATCTTAGAATTAAAAGAAGCAATGATGAAAGTTTGATTGATGATATAGGAGGAGGAAGAGAGAATGAAATAAGAAGTTAGTTTCATTTATTTTGCTTAAATTTGTTGAAAATAGGAGAGAGAGAGAGAGAGTGCAAAAGAGAGAAAGAAAGAGTTAATGCAATGTGAATTTTTTTCTAAGTATATATATATATATAAATGAAAAAAAGAAAAAAGGAATTGTGTAATCATAGTTATAGCGAGAGAGAGAGGGAGAAAGAGAGGGAGAGAGAAATAAGGTGAAATTGAGAAAAGAATGATAAAATGGACAATTGGACACTTTTTTTCTCCTCTCTTTCTTTTTTTTTTTTAGGAATGAATGAAAAAATGTAAGATTTATTAAGATTATTTTAAAAAAGAGAAAATCTGATGAAATTACAAATAAGAAATGATAGATTGTTTAAGGATTGAAAATGCTCGATGAAACATTCTCTCAGCGAACAAGATTGCGACAATTTGAATTAGTGGTGGAGAAGAAAAGTATTTTTGTAAATGCTCATTATCTAGCAGAATTATCACCTTATTTTAAAATGCTATGCTTTGATGATACATTTCGGTAAGTTACTCATTATTTTGTTATAATTGTTGCATATTGATGTGCTCTAACGATAATGTTAGTTAGTAGAAAGCTGAAATTAGTGAAAAATGATTTTTGAGAAAAAATTATTTCCTGAGAAAATAACCAAGTGAAATTCAGAGTTAATTCAACAAATATAAAATATGCAATGAATGATTGAAAAATTTTAGTAATTTTTTTTAATCTTTAAAGCATTTAGCGATGATCGTTTAAAAATGTCTCATTGTTATGGACGTTTTTACATGGTCATCTATCATTTTGAATCTTGCAATCACTTTAAATTCATCATTTGATCAATTTTTGTTTTCATTAATTACAGAGAAGCGCAGAATGGTCGAGCTGAGATAGAAGATGAAGCATATGATGAAGTTATTGAATTACTTCGTTTCATATGTCCAAATAGTGATTATGTTATCAATAGAAACGTTACAGGTATGACTTTTTTATAAATGTTATTCTTTCTTTATATTCAAATCTGATAAACAGCTGCTGTTCAACGTGAAAGAATGACAATTTTTTTGGAAATAAATTTTTTATTTTTATTTTATTTCATTTTTTTTTTTTTTTTTCATGTTATTCGAGTTATTCGGTGGCTATGGTTCAGCGTAAAAGGATTGCAAAAAAAAATTTTTTTTTTTTTTTGAAAATATGTTTTTTTTTAGTGGTATGTATTATCACATGAAATTTGTTATTCAATAATTGAATAATAGAAGAGAAAATGTTATCATATAATAAGATTGTTCGTATTGCTTAGAAGCATTTCACAAATTTAACTTTTTTTCTTTCTTTTTCAGAAAACAATTTTTCTATGCTTACTCATTTCTCAAATTTGATGCAATTACGAGATTTACGACGTCAACTTGAAAGTTATGTTGAAAACGAAGTTCGTATGGAGAATTATAGGCCAAGAGATGAGAATTTAGTGGAAATGATCACTGAGGCAATGAATGCTTCTTTTTCACCAAGTCTTATGGACATTATGTATCAAAAATTAGCTCGAATTGATTTGAATCATATTAAAGCTGTAAGCTTTTCATAATTTATTTCTGATATAGTTAAATCGCATTTTTTAGTAGTAGTTGAATTTATTCTAAATTGCCACTATTTGTCACATAACAGTCAGCAAAGTCATTTTTATGAGTGAATTTTTTGAAAAAGACTCAGGATTATATGGAAAAAAAAATTTTTTTTTTTCCATCTCTATTTCAGCTTATTAAAAATCTCCCAGATCGATATGCACAAGCAATATTAGAAGGTGCTCAAAAATTTGTGAGCTTTTTTTTTATATATATATATATATAATTTGCTCTATTTTCTTGTCCGTTTTTTCATATTTTTAAAGTATAAAAGGAATATATTTTTTTAATTAAATTGAGATAAATCGTAGTTAGTTTTTTTTTTTTTTTTTTTTTTTTTTTGATATTACAGTTTTATTTGCAGTTTCGTGTTTATCCTATGCAATTGCCATATCGATCATCGTACAGTTATGATCAATTTCAGCAGGGAATCTTTTAGGAAAATTTTCCCAAAGCATTTAATCATGTTAAAAAGTTTATTGCTTAAAATATATCCTTTAAAATTTATGCCCATATCTGTTAGTTATGGAATATATGTTTCTGAAGTTTCAATTATAATCAAAATCGTCACATTTCATTTCAAATGCAAAATATCTCATGTTCTTTTCCAGTTTTTTTTTTTTTTTTTTTTTTTTTTGTAGAATTTAAAATTTTCCTCCCTATATTATCTGTATTATTCTTTATTTTAATTGGCTCTTGAAACTTTTACTCTTAAAATATTCTGTGTGCTACTTTGGTGCTATATGAAAGTTTTCTTTTTTTTTTTTTGGAAATTATTTGTTAATTTCTCTATGATATAATATTCTTATTCATTATTCAATTTCACTAGCATTGTTCCCCATTCAAGTATATAATTCCTAAAATCTCAGAAGTGTAAAATCTTTTTTATATCTAAGTTTCTAAACTTATTTTTGCTGCACATTCTTTTGAATGTATGATCGGAATCTCCAAATTTTTGCAAATATATTAATCTTTTACATGTTCTTCTGAAGAATATCCTATGAATATTATTTATTCGTCGTGATGTTGTAACTTCAGAGTTTCAGTTTTGAACAAAGTTTAATGACTTTTATGAAACTTTGAGGCATTTCAGAAACAAAATGATTGAAATGTATAAGAATTCATTTGTTTTGCATCTTATTAATATCTCTTAATATAATCTTGTCAGTGTTTTATACCAGTTTTTATGCTTTCTACAATTTCATTTACTATTCCTTCATACATTCACTATAATTTATTGTTTTATCAGATTCACTGAAATCTAATTCTCATTCTCTTCATACATTTTGAATATTTACTGTCAGAAATATGTTTATCATTTTTATAATTGTACATCAAATGCAAGTTTTATGTTTTTTTTTTTTTTTTTTTCTTTTTTAAATTCTTGTTATTTACTCCATTTGGAAAATAAGCATGGCTTTCTGTGGATTTGTACGATAAGTTTCCTAACCAATTATCTCCAAAAACTTGACCATGTTAACTTATCCATGTCCTCCCGCGATCGAATGAAATGTGATATCAAACAAAAAGTGAAATAGAGTGATAATAATTTGGTGATATTAACGAATTTTAATTTTGTTAATTTGTTGACATTTTAAGATTCATATTTTTGTCAACTGAATAGTTTAAATAACTAAAAGTCATTTGCTGCATAAATTAGGAAATAAAATTCACTTTTGCGCTGAGAACAGATTAAAATTTAAGCATTATTAAACAATATCAGTACTTATCATTTGATGATTAGCATTTTAAGGTAGCATTTTCTAAAATGCATTTATAGATTTTCCTGTATCACTATGACGAAGTACTGTAACAGATTACCGTGATTACAGGTTACTGTGTCAACATTTATATAGTGATAATTAATGTAATAGATCATGGGCAGCAATGTTAATGTCGCAGTTCCTTTGACACTGTTCTGGATGCTCCGAAAACCTGATACAGTAATCCGTTGTGATGATTACGACAGTTGCTAACTAATCTAATAACTTATTGTCGTCGATATAAAATAATAGATTCATTTTTTTATCCCAAATCTGTGACAAATTTGTATTTTTATATAAAAACTATTGCATACATCTAATAAAACATGCATTTAAAACAACAGCCAATAACTCTTATATTTTGAATGCAATAAATTACATTTATCATCTTTAATTCATTCAAATTTGTGCAAAAAAATGTTCAACAATGAATTTGTGTGTACTTAACCATTAAGTAATGTTTTAATAACCTTCTATATGAATTGGAAATGCGAAAGATAGTTGAATATTGCAAACAGGATTTAATGAAGTGAAATTGCTAAACTTTTCAAAATTTCATCAGTTTTGTTAAAACTTAAAATTGTGATCCGAAAAATTTTTCCCATCCTGTAGAATTATGATGATATTTGAAGGATAAAATTGGTGTAAAATTTAATACTCTTCATATGATCTGCGATATTACAGCTTTTCGATTGTTGTACAATTCATGAGAATGTCTTTCACATCACTTTTGATTCAAATTAAAAAGTGAAAGTTTGATTTATAGCAACAAGCAGAGAACACAGCATTAATAAATTTTTGTCAAATTAGAAAACAAACTATAATTTGAAGGAAGTAATGCAGTTATAAGCAATATTTGAACAGACGGTCATTTAGTATTGCATATACATTGTTAACACTGAAATTTATAACATAGAGTTTTGAAATTTTAAAATTTAGTTATTTTTAATAAATTTTTAAAAATTATAATTAATATAAGGAATAAAATAATCATTTCCATTACAATTTTCAACGCGATTAAGCTTATTTTATACTCTAAGCCTTTTCATTTCTTAGTATTTAATTGTAACTTAAAAATTTTTTCTTCTGTTAAACCTAGCATTTCATATCTGCTGGACTTACATGAAATGAAATAAAAAAAATTTGCAAAAAAAAAAAAAAAAAAAAACCATTCATTTTTTAATAGAATTTTTTTTTTTCATGGAAACTATCAAAACTACGTTGCTAACATGCGTATCATTTTATTATTGTTGCAAAGCAAACTTTTCTCATAGTTTTGTTCTAATTATAAAATTGTTTTGCCAGCATGCAAGCAGACTATGTTTCTGATTGAGCTGTAATGCAAAAGAATGTATAAAATAGGTTCAAAATAATGAATTTTTACACTGTGACTTTTTGAACACTTCAGAAAATCATATTAAAAAAAAATTTCATTGTTTAAATAAATAAAGATAATGTTAACTGGACGATTTGTGAAATTGTCAATGAATAAATTTTTATATCAAAATTAAATTGCAAACAACAGTTATTGTAAGCCATTCCTTAATTTTACAAAATTGATTGTATTTAGAATGTCAAGTAAGTTCAAAACAAATTTACGTTAATGAATTTTAATTTTGTAACTATATAAAAACTTCAAAAAATCATATTTTAATTAATTTCATTGGTGAAATACTAAAAAAGTGATATTAGCTGTAAGATTTCAATATTTACAATGTTTAAATTAATAAGTAAAATTAGTTTTAATGTCAAAATTAAAATATTTTTTAATTGATGAAAAGAATAGTAATTACTACTTTTTTTCTTTTTTTTTTTTTGCTATTTTATTGCGATTTCAAAATAAAACTACAATAGATTTTTTAATTTAGCCGTCCAAACAGCATTATGAGGATGTCAGAAGATCGTGTATGTCTGATGAAGATGCAGTGTAAAATAAAAAAAATTGTCAAATGCATTTAAAATAGTTTTATGAAGCTAGCAAGTTCTAATTCTATTATTTCAGAAACATTTTAAAAATCGTATTTTTATTATCTTTGTTGTTTAATAAATAAATAAAAGTTGTGTTAACTACAGGGTTTAAATTACTTTTCAGTCTATTAATTGGTAAATGGAATTCATTTTTCTTTTAAAAATAAGTAAAAATTGTTTAAGGATACCGTTTATTTTTCATTCAACTAGCATTTCAATGTAATATTTCTTTAATTTTTCATTGATTTAATTGACAAAAAAACTTATATCTTAAAATATAATTGTGAAGTAAAAATTCTGCTATAATATTTATTACCGTAAAAGCAAAGGTGAACAGAAAATCAATTTAAATTAACGGAGAGTTAGCGTTGGATTGCTGGTCATATTGAATAATTAATAGATGATAATTGATATTGTGATAATTTGAAACAAATATAATACTATTGAATAGAAAATTAATATAATGCTGGAATTTTAGATTTTATCTTCATATTATTTCTTTTCTTTTCTTTTTTTTTTTTTTTTTTTTTTTTTTTTTTTCTGACAAATTACCAATAACTTAAATAGCAACTAAATTAAGGCAAACGATTTAATCATTTTTTTTTTTTTTTTTTGTCTTTTTCTTTCTTTGCCAAATTAGTGAATTTTAAGCTATTTTACTATATTTTACTATAACTATACTGAATATTTAAGCATTCTTAGTGTTTCCGATTATTATTTTTTATATGACATAATTCTATTCTCCTCAACAGTTATTTCATTTGCGTTTTCTTTCAGAGAGTTATTACTTACATTTTTTAATAAATTCAAATAATTTCAGACTTTCATTTTATTCCATTTCATCTATTTTTTCTCATGAATGCCTTAATGATAGCTATAATCTATCACTGTTATTGATAAACATGAGAAAGAGATTAACAAAATCAAGTGATAAGTGATAATCTCAATCTTACTTTTATACATTCTCTTTCCTTCCCTGTCTTATTTGATTTTTCACTAATTATTTAACCCTAATTTTCAAAAAAAAAAAAAAACAAAGGAGCAACCATTCACAAACTTTTACTGCTTATCTTAGCAAGACAACATAATGTGCATCGTAGGAAATTTCAACTTTAATATATGTGTGTTTGTGCGTATATGTATGTATGTGTGTATGTATGTATGTGTGTATGTGTGTATGTATGTATGTATGTATGTGTGTATGTGTATATTATATATTTTACGGGTTCTTTAAAGCAAGCATTTAGAAGCTCATTCATTGATTTTGCTAAGAAAGCTTAGGGGTGTTCTCTTTTTTCTTATCGAAATTCTAGAGAGAGAGAGAGGGGGGGAGAGGGATAGAATTGAAGAATAAAGGAAGTTAGACGGAAAAAAAATGAAAAGTGGTTTAGTTTCATTTCCTTTGTTTGATTGCAAAATAGCCGTATTACATGTATCTGTGCGAGACGAGTTATTCTTTATATTTCAGTTCAGTTATGAATGGTTTAAGTTTTAAAATTGTTTTTTTCTCAATTGTTCATTTCTTGTTCGAAAGAAAAAGAAAAAATTTGTTTCCTTATGTTGCATTTATATATAATGTTAATTAATATCATTTGATATTTATTACTTATATTAATTCATTTATTTGCATATATTAATTTGAATTTATTAATAATTTTTTTTTTTTTTTTTTTGCGGAAAGTTTTATTGACACACATTATTAGCATAT